AGCCAGCAAGGCTGGCTGGGGAATTCTGGGAGTTGAAGTCCACCCATCTTCAAGCAGCCAAGGTTGAGAAACACAGGTCTAGGAGTTCAAAGGAGTGTAAAGAGCTCTCCAAACTCCAATTTTATCCCACTTTAACCCTAACCCTAACCCTAGTCTCCTAGAACCCTTTCGAAATGTTTCACGCGGTTCCCAGTAAAAGGACTTTTCTCTCCTGCAGTTAATAAATTGCTACACAACTACTCCATATGTCTCATTATTATCTCTTTTTCATTACAACATTCCCTGCTGCTGTTCTAACAAAATATTTAAAAGATTGAGAAAGTACCGGCTGGTGCAGGCAAGGCAGAGCCATTTAAATCCCCTTGAATTTTTTAGGAACTGATAAATCAAGCGAAAATCTGCCAGTATACATGATACATAGAAATACGGTTCTGTTGTGTTTTTTAAGCAACCATAATTCTCTGAAAGCTAAGTGTGGGGTAAACATATTTACATTTTTTTTTCTTTTTATTGTAAGGTTATAAATCTTGATGGATTGTATGATTTCAATACTGTAACCTTTGTAAACTATAATGAGAATTTTTTAACATTCTATTTAGAGAGTTTAATGTATTGAAAATAGAAAAAATAAAAAGTTCTATCAGTAGTAACTGCAATGTGGGATGGCAACATTACCAGCGTAACATTATTTGCGTTTTCATCCAAAGCTGAGTACAACATTAAAAAAAAGAACCACTGCGAATTGCATCAACGTATTAGTTATATGATAACAGTTTCAGTCTTGCACTGATTACTTAACATTAAGATCTCCTGGTCCTCACAATATTGTACGTAATCACAACAGGACCCTGTTTAAACACAATGAATTCCCTTTCATTGTACAATATGCATGCATTAATCTTGTGCAATTTTTTTTTCAGGAAGACTGAATGGTGACATATTTGTATTTTTTTCCCCCATTTGGGTGGGACTAATGACCCCCCACTTAGCTCGAAAGGTCTAGTGGTGTTTGAACTGTACAAGAGAGTTAGGCAAAAAATATGGGGAAACTGCCTGTGACGATTGCGTTTCAAAGAGAAGGTTACGTTTGCATGGAAAGACACAGCACCTGAGATTAGGTTTCATTCCTGATAGCAGAAATGCATAGATGTTTCTAGCTTTTAAACGCAAGAAAGAAAGAAAAAGAAAAGAAGTAAATGGGAAACTGATAAATAGACACAATTTCCCACCTGTGGTCTACAGGGGCATTAGAAGGCTTGGACTGAAAATGTAGAGAAGTTTTCCCAATCCAGCAACTTCTAGGCGTGTTGCATAGCAATTCCTTGCTTCCCAACCCTATTCATCAGGGTCATTCATTGTGTAAACTGCGGATGAATTAAATTGTAGTCCAATCAAACCGGAGGGCTGAAGGTTGCAAATGACTCATGTAAGGGAAACTGGAGGGTCTGAACTTTATCACTGATTTAAAACATCTTACCCCCCACCATCCTGCATTTTTCCTGCTAGAATCTCAAAAAAGATGTCTCTAATAGGCAAGCTTTTAATTATTTTCTTTATTTGTGAGGTCTATCCATCACCACAATCCTAGCAGCTTCTAGGCAGTTTACAGACATTAAAATAACAATAATAAGTAATACTGTGACATTAAATAATCAAAACTAAGACAAATACACACACACACACACACACCCCAATGGCTTTGTTAGTCCCTCAAGGCCTTTGGGAGAAGCCAACTTTTTATTAGCCTCCAGTTGCTATTTTCTAAGATCTTATTGCACATTAAAAGAAGTTAAGTTCAAGGGAAATAAAAGAAAATGTAGCAAAATCTGTCCAACATTCCTCAGCCAGGCCTTGTCTGCAAGAGGGTTTACTTGAAACCCTCTTCTACCTTCTTGACCTCATGCTGGTCTTGGCCTAAATCAAAATTGGGTCAGGACTGGCTTCTACCCACATGCCCATATGCTGCAGAATCATCTTCCCAGGGAGGTATTGTGGCCAAAAGCTGGCTCCCTAAAGCAACCAAATCACTTTGAAGATACAACCTAATTTTATTTGCTTACATACAAGCAATAATACAGCATATACCAGACCCCCGGCAAAGCGTTGATACTTTGCTGAGCAGCTGTGAGTGAAAGCAGAACCAGTGGTTATATATACCTTTGGCCCACTTCAGTGCAAAGGCAGACATGGTGGAAATTGCAGTGTGACGTTGGAATATTTTGGATAAACCCATCCATGTCACCTTATTATTATTTATCCCTCCCTACGAGGCCGTACTATCTTTGAGATACGGTCAGTGAATAGAAATCATGTGCTTGACTGGGTCACAGGTTCCTGACTTGGGTCTTCTCTGTGTTGTCACTCAGAGTCACTTAGGTTTGTTGTGAAGGTTTTTCTTACAAGGGCACTTTCAGCATTTCATATGTATTGGGGGGGGGGGCATCTCATAGGTACACCACCACAGAGGAAACTCACAAATTGGAACATGGAAAGCAAACATAGGAATGGAAAAATAAGAAATGGACAGAAGCGAAAATGGATAGGCCTGCAGGAACAAGAGAAACTGAAATCGATAAATTCACCTATCCTGAATCCATGTGGGGAACATGCAGATTAAAGTCTGAAAAGGAAGACCTGGGACATCAATCGGTTAAAAGTTTGGGACTGTTGGAAAGGATGTTGTGTGGGCCATGTCTACCTTCGACAAGCCTCCAAAACAGAGCTCTGGAAGACTGTTTCCAAAACACTCAATATTAATCTCTTAAGAATGGGAAGAAAATCTTTTTTAAATCCACAGCAGGGAAGTCCAACTTAATCTAGGCTTTACTGACCCATAATTGCTTGAGGTGTGCTAAAGAGGTCCCTGGGGCTTCTCAGTTGACAGGAACAGCCATCTTCCTTCACCCCACACAGCTGGCATTTATTCTTAGCTGTGAAGATTTAGGGAATTTGTATTACGGATTTGCTGCAACACAGTCCCTTGGCTCTTCTTAGCCTCCATGTGCTGAGTCTAAACAACCACAAACACTCTTATTTCTGAGCTAAAGGAACTCCTGCGATTCTGTAAACATTCCCTTTCCTACTCCCCACCCCAGTGGCCTTCTTTATGCATTCAGCTGTTCTGAAAAGGCCCCAAGAGTGGGATAAAAGCATTCACTGACATTGGCCATACAAGGGTGTCCTTCGGTTGTCTTGATAGCTTAGTGTGTTTCTCTTGAACATGGAGGTTCTAGGAACTTGGAGGCTCTTGAACACAGGAGATCTCTAGCTATTGCTAGAATGAGCCACCATGAATCTGTTGGCACTGGTGATAGAGGGGGTAATTTTTCCTGTTTTCTCCTTTCTGCCAAGTCTGAGGAAAGGGGTGGGAGTGTGGAGAAGTGATCTTTCTTTTAGGTAAATACAGTGTTTTCCAGGTTTGATTAGAGGTACTGAGTTCATCAACCACCTTTGCACCGTGATTGTCCCAAAGAAATTTCAAATTTCCACAGCGGTGGGTCCAATTCACTGTCTGTAACACTGTTGGCACCTTCCACTTAGCCAACACATCTAAAAATAGACGAGAGCTGCTTTAAACAAAAAACAATCTATAATCATCATTTGGGGGAGGAGAAACCTTGGGGTATCTTAAGCAAAATTTATTCCTCTTGGGTTGTATAAAAGCCATTTCAGCCCCAGGAATTTCCAAGAAACATCTCTCTGTCCCATAGGGTGGTTTTAATTCCACCTGGGTTGTCAAAGAGGATGGATTGGATGTCATGGAAACCGTGACGAGAAACCTCATTTTTCAGCGGCTGCTGTTGCTGTTATTTATTTAATTTTGATAAGCTATTTAACAACAGACAATGATGCGGGGTGGAAGTGATGTGTTGGAAAGGTGCCGGTAGCGATGCTATAAATAGCACACTGCTGATATTTAAATCTGTCTATGTATGGTAACATTTACCACCAATATCTACAAACATCATTTTCTTTAGGCCTGAGTGATGTGTAAACTCTAGGAAGCTTTTGTTTATTGGTTTTGCAATCGCCACTGGTGTCCCGCTCACCTCCACCCTGCAGTAGGGGAAAGCATTGGGGTGGATTTCAGAGCTGAGCCTGCCCAGCCAAGTTTGTGGCTGACACTCGGCAGGTTTTTTGGGAAAAAAAAGGTTTTTGAAAAAGCATTGTCCAAGGTTGCTAGACCCCTGTTCAGTTAAGGAGGAGAAGACAGAGAGGAGGAGGAGGGGAAGGGGGAAGAGGAGGAGGAGGACAGTGGGAGACAAGCAATGGGGCAAGATTAGACTATAGCCAACAGATCCTGCAAAAATCACACCTGTGAGGATGGTCATAGACCTGGCAGGGCCTTTATCAGGGCCCAACTACTCCTGATGTATACAGTTCTTGATAGCCATATTCCCAAGGGGGGCTGTTCTTCTTGAGTAGCATTTTTACTCCCATGGAGAGCACCACATATGACTCTTTAGATGGTCATTTCTGCACTGGATAGGTGCCCAGGATTTCATTCTT